TTCCTTTCCAAAAAATGCTAATTTTTAAATTCAGAAATGGGAAGACACAGTAGGATTTACCTGACTTTCACCTTCTAAAACTTAGGCTTGGACTTAAAATATCATTAAATTCCTTCACTGTTAAGTGAAGAGGAGGCTTCTCCACTCAGGGGTTCATGTTGCTTTTTTGAATAAGATGAATCATATGCCCTTTTTCCTTCTTGCTTTCTCTTTCTTCTTTCCTTTGTTCCTGCCTTCAGTCTAGAGCAGACAAGACAATTATATTCATTGATTACCCACCTTTCTAGATCACTCAGGTCAGCTGGGTAGATCTCCCCTAAAAGGCAGACATGGGACCAATTCTTGCATTCACTGAAGAGCCCTTCCCAGGATACCAAATCTGAGATTTCCTACCTGTTGTGAATTGGGAAAACAATGTTATTTGTGTGCATGTACAATTGTAAAATAACAGTATGAAAACAGAAGGAGGAAAGAAAAAACCTTTTTCTACTCAAAGACAATTAATTCACTAGAAACAAGCATTTTATTCACAAACGTTAATGGGGAGGAAAAAACTTCTGTCTTTGGAAAACGATTTTTTCTTTCAAAAAGTGTGTTCTTCAAGGTGAACAGGTAACACACTTTCATGTGCTGAGGTTCAGTGTGTTTCTGTTTAAATGACTGGACTGGGGAGAAAGGTGACCTGTGCTTTGCTCGGCTGTAGAGGCTCTTGCCCTGTTCTGAGTCTGCCCCATGAGTTAGAAAAAAAAAAATCCAAGACTATGATGAGCTTGTACAGTGCATTCCCTTACAGATACAGAATTAGGCTTTCTTATTTCTCTACTGCACGAACTGGGCAAGGAAAGAAGCAACATATCACTATGTGGGGAATTAATGAAAAGAAGGAGGCTGTCTAGAGGGTTTGGTTTGGGGAGGTAACTTGAAAAAGGTAGGCCAACACTATGAAATTGTGCTAGGTTTGGGGAACAAACTCCCCTGGAGCAGGAGGGAATAAGGCATATTGTCCTGTTCCAGGTGGCAGCCAAAGATGTCATTGAGTGCTCTCGCTGGCTGACTGCTGGCATGTTGCCTAGGAATTAGGTGGAGGCCATGGTGTTATTTAAGCATACCAGAGCTACCTCAGACAGTTGCTGTGTCAAGACACAGTGGATGGAGGAAGAATAAGTGTTCAGGGGGGAAAATACTGGGGTTTTTTTTCCATGTGTTACTTGGGCTCAAGTTCCTGTTCCGTCTGATTTTTGAGTAGATCAGGGTCCACGCTCCTTTTTCTGGAAGCTCATCTGGCATTACAGGGGAGGACAGTTACCAGACAGTCTGGTGATAGCAGCAGCTCCAAGTGAAGGCACATGAACTGAGGGGTGCTGGTGGCTGGCAGAGACCCTTCACTGTGGGGATGAGCTTGTTTGACATCAGTTTGTAGGGATTGCTGCCTCCAGCCCGTGGAAGATCCCTTCTTTCTCTCAGGAGCCCTTTGTGTAGCAACTTGTTCAGTGGTGGCTCTCGGTGCTCGAGCTTCCATTTGTTGCTCTTGGTGGTTTGTTTGGGCTTTTATTCCTCCTCTTTGCTGCCTTTGGCACAGGACGGCCTTGGTAGGATTGTGGAGCACTGTTATTTCAGGGTGTGAAAGAGTCTTAGGCCTTTAATCTGGGAGTACAAACTACATCTGTCACCTGGGTATCTGTGGCGGTTCCTAAGCAACCACAAGAGTTTATTTTTTTCTGCAGTTCGTATTTAAGAAATTGCTCATGCATGAACCAGCCTGAATCAGCCTAAGCACCACCCCAGGAGACAGAAATTGTAAACTGTAATTTGGGCTAATTCTAGTCTAAAGCATGAATTAGAGTATTCTGTGTAATCTTGAAAAATATACCATATAAATAAATGTAAGCAGAGAACAGGTACAATTAATTTGAGCACAGTAGGAAGCTTTAAGTAACTCTGGGAATGTGAGAAACCAAGTTGGAACATATTCTTGACATGTAAAAATATTTCCCACCTGCGTTGTTTGCATAAGAACAAGGTTTTAGCAAGTACATATTTGCATGTCAAAGTTAAAAGTGGGGAAAATATTTTCACCCTTGTAAGAAAAAATGCATAATCTTGGCACAGGCAATTTGCATTTAGTAAGTTTAAAGTATCTTAAGTCCTTTCATGCTGTATGGGAAGTGTATGAACCTGCGACAGGGGTTCCATTTCAATGAGTTGATTTGCAAAGGCACCGCAGTGGAGCAGTAATTGATCTGATCTCTCTGTGCATTAATTTGTATTACAATTGGTTGTGGCAGTCCCGAGTGATTTGTGCTTCTGAGATTCATCCATTGTCCTGCATCTCAGAGTGCAGCAGTAAGTTGCAATTTTAAATCCTGTGTGCCTAATTGAAAGTAAGTACCTTGAAGATAGAAATTTGAAGAAATCAGGAATTCCAAAACTATATCTGATTTGGTGCCGGCACTCATAAAAATTATGTTGGGCAAATGCTGGCACAGCTGGAGCCTGTGAATCTGTGGAGATTCTCTTATACCAGTAAAGCACCCTGGAAAATGCATTTGGGACTAATTATGGCACCTTTTAGACTATTGCTAACCTAGCTTTAGGCCATCACTTTGAAGGCATGTTACATTCCTTCAGAAACACTCTGCAAATGTCCTGTTGCTTAAGAAATAGGGATTGCATAGACAGGCTTCATGGGTGATTTAACTAACATGCTGGAGATTGTAGATAAACTAGATCCAATTATATCATACTTATTCAAAATAAGGCAGTAATTATGTATATAAAAGTGAAATGTAAAAAATACCTTGCCATGTAGCTGTGGAGATAAGCCTTGTCACTACCCTGTCCAAGGAGCTGCAGAAGGCTGCTGATTCATTGCAGCAGAGGAGAAAAATAATCATATGTTGAAAAGGCACAACTGGGATTTGGTAGAGCTATTCTGGAACCTGCCCACAGGATTGCTCTCTGAATTTGAACTGCACATGATTCAAAATCTGAATTTCTGTGAGTTTCAGTCTGTTCTACAGTTTGTTGATGTGAAGGGGAGGTTATGCCACTCTTTCTGCTACAAGTTTATTAACATATTAGGCTCCAGTAATAATTCATGTAGCACATTAATGAAACAGCACACACATTATTTTTCCCTTTTATTAGTTTGCTTCCTCCTCCATTATATTTAATGTGTTAGCTGAAAGCAAAGTGAAGTTTTTGGGGAAGAACTATTTCCTTCCTTAAGTGTCCTAAACAGACCTATGAATTTCAGCCTGGTATTTTATTGCTGCAAGGATGGTGGGGTTTAAAGGTCAGGGATGCCAAGGTCCTTAGCATGGCAGCAGATACAAGGGGTATCTCACTGTTTGGGACTGCTTGGAAAGCTGCTCGTCCCGAGCTGCCTGGCAAAAGCCCTGGAGTCCATAGCAGCTGCTGGGCACTGCCTTCTCCAGCAGAGTATTTTAGCTGCTCTTGGGTTCCTGGGAGCAAATAGATCCCATTTGAGTGCTGCTCAGCTGCTCCATTGTTGCACTTGATGTCACCTGGAGAGTATTTTGAAGGAATATTTTAGCACAGTTGATGCTGTGCTACAAGTCTTCTGGTCTTCTGTTTTATAATTATCTTATGCTTTGGGCCAGATCCTGAGCTGTGTTGTGCTGCAGTGAAATGAAGCACACAGTAGTACTGCAAGATGATTCTTGATTAATAATAAGCAGCCAGTTAGGGATTCAATGGCATGCAAAATGGAATGTTTTTAGAGTGGACATGACTTTTTGAGAACAGAGTACAGCTGAAGTTAAGTTAATGTGTTGTAAGACAGTAGTATTAGATGCGATTTTATGTGTTGTCACAGACTGGATAGCCATAAATTGGATGAAAGAGGAGCTCGCTTAAACAGCTGGGCAGCTTGTGAATGGATTTAAGCTCCTCAAGGAGGTGAACAGCACTTGTTAATGTGTCACAGTTACAGACACAGCAAAAGTTGCACTTGTACTGTTCCAACTAAGCTACTTCCAGAAAACTGCTGCAGCTCATCCTAACACACTGGCAGAGCAAGGGCTCTCCTGGGGTTTCAGTCACCTGGCCATGTGTGGTCTGTGTTTGTGAGCACTGCCAAGCACGTGTGGTGTGTGCCCTGTTGGTGTTTGGTCACCAAAGCACTGCCTGTGCACAGTCTGTCCAAACTTGCCAGCAAAACAACTGCAGCCTTTTGTATTGTCCAGAAGCAGTTGAGAGGTGTCCCTGAGCATGCAGGAGTCCCTTCTTGGACCCCAGTATTCACATGGGAAGGTGCTTGATTTAGAGATAATCACGCACCAAAACTGAATTCAGTATGTGGGTTTATATGGATGAAATTACATTTATCAGGGCTTTCACACTTATAACTATATGGCATTTTCCAGGCTGTGCCAGCTCTTCTGGTTTCAGTGAACTGAGTGCAGGTGCATTTTCCTGCCTGCTTTGTTCTGTGGTAGATAATACACAAATAGGTACCGATAATTCCCTTTCGATTCACGTAGGTGAGTTTTGGATTTCTCATGCACAGTGGAGTTGCTCTTTGCCTCATAACTTCTCTTTAGGGTGGGTTGAGTTGGTGTTGGTGGCTGTGGTCAAGGTGGTACATTTGCTTCTTGGCAGGGCAAGCTTTAAAATTACCTGTTATGGTCTTGCATGAATGCAGTTGGAAGAGACCTTTCTAGTGTCATCTTAGCTCTTTGGCCAAAATGTGAACTCTCCTATTCTTTTTGGCTTTGAAATGCTGATTCTAGCCTTCTTGTGGGTTCTTAAATACCTTCTCAAATGACCCATTTTAATAACCCAAAAGCTATTATATAACGAGCAGCCATAATTTAGTCCAAAGCTCTAGGGGATCCTTGCAGTTCAGCAATGAATAGTTAATGCAGTATAATGTTTAGCAGGTTATTAGTTTTCACTGTACAAATGCTGATCAGGGAATGCTTTTATAAGGTGTTTCAAAGAAAATGTAATTAACTGGTTGCGTGCTTCTGTTGCAGCTCAAATTGAAATTATTCCATGCAAGATCTGTGGAGACAAATCATCAGGAATCCATTATGGTGTCATTACATGTGAAGGCTGCAAGGTAAGCTTCTAAAATATTAAGTCTGAAAAGAAGCATTTAGCCTTTTGATAGTGATTATTTTCCTTCTTTTTTTTAAAGAGCAAGCTTTGCTCCTAAGTTGAATATAAAATCGTTGGGGATTCTGAAGTACTGGTCTTATTTGGGCTTTAAATAGGACATTTCTGTGACACACACATAGTTACACTGCTGCAGATTTTAGGACAATCCTCAAAATCAGTACAGTGTCAGTGTGCAGTACATTGTCTCTCTCTGCATAAGCAGAAGAGGTACAGGGAGATGATCTACTTCAAGCACACCACCAAGAACCTGTTCAGTGCATTCAGCCAAGGGAAGATGAGTCTGGCTTTCTTCAATCTCCCTATCTGGTTTTGCTCTGTAAATTACTATGAAGCTCTGTTGAAATAGGTGAGAGCTCTCCCCTCTGTTTTCTTTTGCACTCTGCTGCAGTTAGAAATCTATTCTATTTGGCAGGGGAGATGGTGTTTCAGAGTAGCACATGCTCCTGGTGTTCAGTATGTTCAAGTCTTGCTGAGAGCACTGCCTGTTCTTGCAGTGCAATCACTGCTGTGTAAGGTTTAGGCTTTGAAGTTTTTCCTGGAATTGTACCTTTGGTAAATCTAGTGAACAAGGATTGAACTAGAAGCATTTCTCTTTTGTTCAGTGAGTCTGTCACAACCAGGAATTAAACTGGACAGAGCCAACACCAGGTGGGAGTGAAGCTGATCACTCCTTTTGATCCCTAGTGCAGAATTACAACACTGGCTTGGGGTGACAGAGTGTGCACAGCATGCTCTGGCTTGTTGCTCTCTTCATGGATGTATGTTGCAATCCGATACTGATAGGTTTTCTCCTCTTAATCTATAGTGAGGTGTGAAGAATTGATCATTATGATAGTTTTTAGTCTGCTCTCCTGACTTGCTTCATGCTACAACCCATCTTCGAAAAGTCAACTTCTTTGCATTCATATTCTGAAGTTCTCTTTTGTGTTTTACCCAGGAAGTTTTTTTGTGTTTTCACTAACAAGTCCTCTCAGTCTTGTGGAAGTTTTGGTAACAATGAAGGAAAGAAATTAAATGTAAGAATCTTGGAATGGTATGGGAACAGTACCTTCTGCCCTTTGTGACTGCTGTTGCTATGGAAAATGTTATCAATGCATTTTTAATTTATTTCTTGCAAAGTGGTGACTTTTTCCAGCTTTCTGTTGTTAAGCAGCCTTTGTCAAATTTCAGCTGTGGGAAGTGCAGACGTTGGTTGTGAGAATTCTGCTGTTTGACTGTCTTGTCAAGGATCAAGTTATGTTCAGGGTCCGAGAGCTCTTTAATCTTTAAATGATCTGGGACCAGAGTACCTGGGGGAGATCCATGATATCCAAACCTGAGTGCAGACACAGCAGGGTTAATGTGGTGCTGATGCTTGGCTGGGCCTCCCCACACGGGGCTTCTTGCAGAGAAGGAGCCCAAGGACAGGGAAGCTGCCAGCTGTGTTTTCCTTCCTTCATCTTCTTGCACCTGGTGAGAAATGTGTGTGCAGTACACGATATTTTAGAACAAATTATTTTCTTTCAAGTGCTGTATGAATCAAGTTCTCTTGGAGCTCTTTG